TAATGGCTATTTCTTTGTGTAAAACGACTAAATACTAAAACATGCCTGAAAAACACCTACACACAATACCTCCAGATATAAATTATTTGTCTTTGTCAGTGGTGTGTCAGTTAGATTATATATTACGTTTTTAGATATTTTAGAGTAAGTTCATGCCGCCAGCTTTACATACATAAATATTAGCACAAAGGTTCGTTTAAACGACATTAGTGAATTAGCTACACAAAGCGATTTTAGGAAATTCATCCTCTTAGAGAGTAAAATTATCTCGGAACAGTTTGTTGTAAGAAAATTCCTTACTATTTGGTCTAGAAGAATGAAATCCTACAAAAAGAATTAGAAGAATTTTTTTAAATTCATCAACCAAATGGGTAAAGTTAGTAAAAATTTATATAAAACTTGGTGACCTCTGGATTATACACATAAAAATGGGCACAAAGGTAAAGCGAATTTATGAAATTTATACCCTTAGAGAGTAGAATAGGGAATGAAAGTTTGCTGTACGAAAATGCAATATTATAACATTATAAACCAGACAGTATAAAATTTTATACAAGGGTTTATTTAGTGACATCATAACGAAATATATCTTCCTCAATTATCCTTCAAAGAATAAAAAATAACCTATAAAGAGAGTATTAGTGCTCTTAATAAATAAAAAAAAGATGAAAAATAAAAAAACATCTATGCTCACTAGCTCTCTATAAAGAAGTAAAAAATCATTTAAATCAATGCATGAACGATTCGAGGTGTAACGCGAACGTAGTCGCGAGAAAAAGCTAGTAATTTATTAAATTATTTTATTTAACTCATTAATTTTCATTGAGAGAAATTTTTGTAATTCGCCACTATATTAGTTAAAAACTAAGAAACTCATATCAAATTTAAGTTTTGCGATTTTGACTTATACTTTTTACAAAATCTGAACACATTTTAAAAGAAAAAAAGTTTTTGATAATATTTTTGTAGATTGACTACAAGCTGTATAACATAAATTTCTACGACCGGTCTACCTAGTGGTCTGCAGCATCGCCTTGTGGTGCAAACGTGGGCCTGTTAATCTGTGACGTGACGCACAACAGCCAAGAAAAACAGAAGCGTGGCTAAGAATTTAGTAATTTAAAAAAAGTCTTTTAGATACAGTAGTAGGTATTAAAAAGTTTTGTGTTTAAATGGGGTTTGCCTTTAACAGTTAAAAAATTATATCGTAAAGTGTAACTTTCCGTAAGAATTCTTTATCTGTCATCATGTTAACCTGATGTTTTGTATGTTATTTTGTTTTTTTCGGGTTTTTTTGCTTGCTTGTTTTACGGATAGGTGCGATCGCATAATTGTTATTGATAATGTTTTATTTAATGTTAACACTACTACTTTTTCAGTGAATCTTTAAATCAGTTGTTTTTCGTTAAGTTCGTTATTTAAACATATGTATGTAATACACTCATATTAACACTAATCATATTTTTACGTTTTTATTCATCATTTTCAATGCACCCCCCCCCCCCAGGTTGCATCTTTGTAAAGGACTGTGAATTTTTTTATAAGTTTACTAAATCGAATTTTTCTTTTCTCTAAATAATTATCTGAGTAAAAATTTCAACTCAAGATGTGTGTTAGTGTAATTTTTTTTATTTTTCTGCTGTCCCAAGTAACCCGTGAGTAGTTTAACATGCATTTTTGATATAAAACCGTTACAGTCCCATTAAACTTGGAACAGTAAATATATTATTTTTTTTTATAAATATTCTTACATTATAAAGCCATTTATGATGCTTTATAGGTTAAAAACATATGAAGGAAAGTTTCTACACATAAATTGTTGCTTTGTCTTCACAAAAACTTTTATAAAATCCCACATAAATAAAAAAATTATAGTGAATTTGTCCTAAGTAACCCCATTTTACGGTACCTAAATTGTAATTTACCCTGTATAACCAGATATTTAGTTAAAATAACCATTGTATGTTAACAATAGTATATAATTCCCCCAGTATATTATTCCGATATTCAATGGATACTTCATATACCTTCAAAATAGTATTAAAGTTGTCTACCCGTTGAACAAAGATTATCCTAGATATTTACATTTTTATGATTTTGCGTCAGTAGATCCTTAATATTTAATAAAATCTAGGTGGCTAAAAACTACGTTCTGATCTACCTTCCGTTAATTTAATAAAAAATAAAAAATGTACAGCAAAATATTCTACGGTAATAAAAAAATACACATTTAAAATATATTTAGGCCAGTAAACGTAGCCGAGTATTATATGTAAAGGTGGAAAAAATTAGTAACCAACCAATCTCAACGGGAATATGTAGATAATGATCTCCTATTTTTAACCCCTCAAAAGTCCCATTCGGTCCCAGTGAGGGAAGTTTGAAAAAAATGGCCGCCATCTTGGATTTTCTCGTTTTTTTTTCAAATATCTCCGTTTGCATAACTTTTTTCGTAAAAACTAAAGATATGTTTTTTGTAGAGAATTAAATTTAGGATGTTTTACCTTTAATCATTTTTTTTTCTAAAATAAATAGTAATAGAGATAGAGCAATGTTTACTATACGGTTTATACATTTTCCAGTTTTCTTAAACCAATCCGCTATAATTTTTGCTGTAACAGTATTAATGTTAACATAGATAAACCAAGTATAAATTTAAGCATTAAAACAATTAAAAATAACGTTTAAATATTATTTATTAAATAACATTTTTGTTAAAAAAATTATTATTAAAGTTATTAAATAAAAACTATGACATCATCCTGAGCGTCATTTTAGCCTCAACTAAAATACAAAAGTTTGTGCAACTGATTCCGTAGCACTGACCACACTTTGAAGAACACGCAAAACCCATTTTTCTACAAGAGCAATTTTTAGAACACTGACTCTCTTTGCAATTGCAATAAAATAATTTTAGTAGGTCAGGAGGCGCCACATCTGTTGATTGAATAGGTGTCACATTGCCTTTTTGATCTTTCTTCCATCCACATTTTAAAGGATCTAACTTGTTACCAATTCATTCTTGAATCTAAAAAATACAACTTATAAGATTTGCTATATTAGATACATCTTTACATTTGCCTGAAAGTATGTCCTGAGTAAATGGAGTTTTGTAGAGTTCTCAATTGGAGGCAATTTAGCTAAATTATAGGTGGTCTTAAAGGATTCTCAGATGGTTCATATGTTTAATATAGCTTGGGCAGTGATATAGCTTTAAAAGATAATTTAATCCTGACTGAAACCAAAAAAAATGTGTCTGTCGGTACTGAAAAAAGATGACGATCTTTGTCAATACCCTGACGTATTTTTAGAAAAAAATCCTAACAAAGATGACTTGTGTCAGTCCGGATTAAATTATCTTTTAAAACTCTATCACTGCCCAAACTATATTAAACATATTAACCATCTGAGATACACTCTATACAATAGGATTACATCAAGACAAACCCTTAACACAACCTTTAATTTAGCTAATTTGCCTCCAACTGAGAACTCTGCAAAACTCCATTTACTCAGGACATGTTTACTTTCAGGTAACTGTAAAGATATATTTATTATAGGAAATGTTATAAGATGTATTTTTTAGATTGAAGAATGGATTGGTAACAAGTTAGATACTTTACAATCTGGATGGAAGAAAGATCAAAAAGGCAATCTGACACCTTTTCAACCAACAGAAGATTATGCCTCCTGAGCTACTAAAATTAATATTTTGCAAGAGAGTCAGTACTCTAAAAATTGCTCTTGCAAAAAAACTGGCTCTTAAAACGTTTCAAATGTTCACTTCAAAGTGTGGTCAATGCTATGGAATCAGTTGCACAAACTTTTGTATTTTAGTTGAGGACGAAAGTGACGCTCAACATGACGTCATAGTAGATTTTATTTAATAACTTTAATTTAATAATAATTTCTTAACAATAATTTTATTTAATCAATAATATTTAAACGTTAGTTTTAATTGTTTTAATGCTTAAATTTATACTTGTGTGTGGTTTATCTATACTAACACTATACTGTTAACACAAAAATTATAGCTGATTGGTTTAAAAAAACTGGAAAATTTATAAACCGTATAGTAAAAAATTGCTATCGCTATTACTATTTATTTTAGAAAAAAATGGTTAAAGGTAAAATATTCTAAATTTAATTGTCTACAAAAAACATATCTTTAGTTTTTTCGAAAAAAGTTATGCAAACGGAGATATTTGAAAAAAACGAAAAAATCCAAGACGGTGGCGGTTTTTTTCAAACTTCCCCACTGAGAGCGAATGAGACTTTTGGGGGGTTAAATAGGAGATCATTATCCACACATTCCGGTTGAGATCGGTTGGTTACTAATTTTTTCCACCTCAACCTCCAGATTGACTGGCCTAATTGTAATTATCACAGAATTGAAATTAGATATAAACATATAATTATGTGACAAAAATTAGCTAGATGAAATCAAATGCTGAAAAATGCTTCCTTTCCTCGTCACTGCATAAAATGAAACTCTTTTCATATTAAGAGGCATATGTGAAGTACTACTTAGAAAAGCAGCCATAATCATTTCTCTCATGTTGTCGACAATAGTTTGTCAAGTTTTGTAAACACTATGTTTAACATTTAACATATCCCCATAAAAAAGTCCAGACTAGATAAATCAGGAGCATTTAAGCATTCTATTAATCGGTAAATGGACACTGTATTTACCAATTAATGAAATCCTATCAATTCTCTCTGGTGTAGGATGAGTTTCCATTTTGGGCAAATTTCTGAGATTTTTTTTGTTTTAACTGACACAAAATGATACCTAGTTATTAAAGTTGAACTATGTTAAGTCATAGTTGTCAAATTAGTTACGAAGTAACAGCCAATTAATTTTTGACAGTAAAATCGTAACACAACTTTCGTTCCATTAAACCAATTTCGCATACCTCCGAGTACGCGAGCTACTAACAGTTTTCATCAAAATTTTCACAACCCTGTATACCTTACCTCTTAGAAAATAATATACTTACTTATATTATATTAAAATTTCGTGTATTAAAGAATTAAAATGATTTCCAAAATATTATAACCATATCCATAATTTTCTATACCAATCATCTGAAACAAAGGTTATTAATTTAAGAAAATGTATAGACGTTTTCTGTTGTCTGATGTTATACCGTGTGATTATGATGACTTGGAAATGACGATCGATGACATTCCCGATATAATTTACATATAAAATAATAGCGACCTTCATTTCCAAGCCATCCCTGACGTCGGTTTTTGTCTATAGTATGGTATTTGTATTTTACTTATATTTTAAAACTCTTTATTTAGGACTTGACCAAGTTTTATAGTCTTTTAAATAATTAACAAATTTTTAAAAATAATAAATTTTCATCTTACTGCAACGTTAGAACCGTCAGCGACATTTCTCGACAAACTATCATATTATGCCTTTACATATTTCTTTTGAAGAGAACTATAGTCATTAATAAAGAAGATAAAGAGCCCATGCAGCTGACACTCTTGAATTGCATAAAAGGAAAAGTAATTTCTGGAACTAGCGAGAACTGATAACTGTGTGGTTATATAACAAGCGGTCAAGGCGGGAATATGAAAACTATTTCCAAATTCATTCAAAAAATATTCAAAAAGTTATTCATTTCCATGTGCCTAATGCTGTGTCTTTTATTTCAAACTCGGTTTCAAACATCTGATTTATTCTTTAAACTGAAGGAATATGTGTTAATAAAGAATTGTTTCAAAAAAAAACAAAAAGACTGAGTCGACTTTGTGGTATAGGCTTTCTGGGAAACTGAGCTGCGAACATATCTAACACAGCAGGAATACTATTTCCTGCAAATGCCATTTAAGCACCATAACTTTTTCAGAAGTTGTGAAAATCATAATTGTTTTATATAAAATTACTCTCTATTTTGTACCTTATTAATTTAAAGATATATTTTTGCAAATAATTTTTAAATGCCTATTCCAAATGAAACAAAATTCTAGATATAAGTACAACTCTAATGCCTCTTCAAATAGTCTAATACAACTTTTGCATAAAATTATCTGAATAGATATTTGACCTTTTCAAAATTTATATGGGATTTTCTATGTCCCATGTTCCGATGCACCACAAGGTATGTATATTATTGTATATGTTCCATGCTTGAAAAAAGAAATTAAAAACAGAACTTACTATTTTATATTCTTGTACACAGTATTGTTTTTACTGAAACAATAAGATTGTTACAAATACTTGTCACAATGCTGATTAGGGTTGCCAAGTTTTTCAAAAACAAGGGGACTACATTTCCCTGTTGTAGCGGGGTGAGGGGGGGGGGGTATACAAATATTTGGATTGCAATACTGCATGAACGATTTATTGAAAAAAAATTACAAAATACAGCCACGACAATGAATGGTTGATTCACAGAAATAAACTAAAACTGAAATACCTATGCAGAAGCAATCTTGTTTATGACAGCTGAATGGGCGAAATAGCATGGAGATTAAAGAAAGTCAAAATAAAATGGAAACAATAAATTATTATAAGCTACAGAAAAATTATTTTCAGCACAAAATCATGGTTTAAGGAACTTTTCTGTCAAAGATTGTAAAAGGAGGACATTTGGGTGCAAAAGGAGGCAGGAGGACTTTTCTTCTAAAAGGAGGACAGTCCTCCCGAAAGGAGGACACTTGACAACCCTAGCAATGCTGATAACCACTGTAGAGGCGGAAAGAAATTCTTGTTCCTTAAAAAGAATTGAAACGTTTTTAAGAAGCACTATGTCACAAGATCAACTAAACGCCTAAGCTTCTTTATCAATAGAGCAAAAACTTATTGGGACTTTGCCTGACTTTAACAATAGGGTTATTGACAAATTATTGACTATGTTTTTGTACTAATTGTTCCTGGTTGTATTATTTTATTTTTGATATATGATAAGTACTGTTCAAAAATATTTATTTTATGAAACTTTAGAACTAAATCTGTGTATTAATAAAGTCATTTTTATGAGATCATCAACTTATGTTGTTTTTTCAATCACATGGTAATTCTTAGTTACTTATATACTTCGTGGCAGAATATTTTCATGGCTAAAAAATTTGTTCTATATACTCAATGCAATAAAGTATCATAAAAGGACGCAATATTGATAAAATGAAAATCACACTCTCTACAAAAATCATTGCATGAGTACATAATGAGATATAGGGTTCGTCATCCTAAATTCTCTCAATTGTAATGTGTAATATTTTAATGAAAAAATGAAACATATTTAGAAAGACACAAAAACTGTGTTCATCAAAAATCATAAATACAAATAAGTATTAAATATTCTAAACTTTAAAATACCTAGGTGGGTACACATTTTTCTACTATGACAATGTTAAATCATACAAAAAGTTGAAATTTTAAAAATTTCATTGTTAATAAACTTACCCATGCTAGGTATTCTGGATATTTTCATAAACTCATTTCAAATCAGATTTATTTTAGAGGATAAAACGTTTGAAAACTTCTTTAATTCCATGGCCAAGGTAATGGAGAAAATTTCTAGAGAAAAATTAACTGAACACAAATTTTATATTGACTAACTGATTTCAAACTTAAATTAAAAGTATTTTGTCATGAATAAACTGTAAACTTAAACACGCATTTTATGAGAAAAACTATAATTGTGGAAATATATCACATATCAATCACTAGGCACAAGAGAATAAATACATTAGAACGATTACAGTGTCACCAATAGCCAATAGCTAATAACTAGTAACTTTTCAAAATGACACATTAGACATGAGGGTAGCCCTAAACCTAAAGTCCCTAGATATGATCAAATATGATTTAGATATGAGTAGCCTATATCGATATTTTTTTCATTTTATTTTTTTTTAAATTTGTACTAAACATTTGTACTTTGTGTACAAAAAGGTGTACAGAATTCACAAAATATGCGGCTTTAAAAATGTTGGTAATGCTCAAAGACTGTATATATTCTAAAGGACTGTTCGATTGCGTCAAATCGCCGCTGTCGTAGTCGCTGTGAAATGCTACGTCACGCGCTGACCAGCGCTCCACAGTGCGGCGGATGGTTATTCTAGCGGGACAAAATCTCAAGAGCAATGTTTGGGACTTAAAATCTAAGAACGTAGCAAATGGTCTAATATATAGCAACTATATGGTTAAATTTATTTATTTAATAACAACTTAATTTATTAATAAATAAATACAAAAGATAATAAAACTATGATTTTATTCGTACATGACACACAAAAACCGTATTGTAAACTATTGTGAAATACTTACAAAAAATTCTTTAGCAGTTATTTTTTAATTACTTTGTAATCTTGTGACACCCTTTATATTTTATTTTAAAAAATTATATTTTATTTTAAAAATATTAATTAAGATAGATATTTTAATTTTAATTTTAACACTCGGTAATTGTAAATTCATATATAGTAAGTATCTAAGACAATTTTTTAAACTCAGTGCCTTTTGATGGAGTTGTTTTGTTTCTATACTATCCGATTGAAATGAAACTTTTTGGGCATTCACCTGTTAAGCTTGAACTCCTGTGACTGTGACTCAACTGTGTTGGTAACTATTGCAACTAAAAAGATCTACATCATTCAATATATCGATATTATTTGAAAAGAGTGAAAGTTTGATATCTGCAGAATCAGTGGGCAATGAAGAATTTTAACAAATAATATACGTACGAAGAAAGTACATACCTTTGGCAATCTTCAACATAATTTGGCTTTTGGAATAAAAATGTATAAGCACTTGTAAATTTTGTTTCGTATGATCTCTGCCTTGTTGAGCAAAACGACTAATATTGTCATTCGGCGACAATATAATAAGTATTGTTCTACTATTATGATACTACTTCCTGACGTTCGATTGTGTTCATACCAAGTTCATATTGTATAATCGGGAAAAACGGCGTTAGCGATTGCTATAAATGAATATCACTGTCATTTTATATGTAAATTTATATGGGAAATGTCATCGATCGTCCTTTTCCTTCCAACTGGACGCCGTTTTTTTCAGAAGCATATCAAGTGATACCATAATATAGTACTATATTACGATACATGGCGTTCGATTGGGTTTAAACTTGGTATACTATATCTTCAGTGACATTGTAATATCATGGTACCATGGAGCATATAAAGTGGTACCTTCTATAGTACCATATTTGATGACATAGCAATATTAGGTACATATCGGCAATAGGGATTAAACTTGGTATACTACGTATTTTCGGTGATATTGTAATATGATGGTACTATGATGCATATCATCTGGTACCATAATATAGTACCATATTATGTACATGGCGTTCGATTGGGCTTAAATATGGGATACAACGTATCTTGGGTGATATTGTAATATTATGGTACCATGGAGCATAATAAGAGGTACCATAAGATAGTACCATATTACGATACCATTTCCTGGCGTTCGATTGGACTTAAACTTGTTATACTACGTATCTTCGGTTACATTGTAATATGATGGTACTATGATGCATATAAAGTGGTACCTGAATATAGTACCATATTTCAATACCATTTCCTGGCGTTCGATTGAGCTCGTATTTGATATATACTTGCGTATTTTTGATGACATTGCATTATTATGGTACCATGAAGCATATCAACTGGTACCATAATATAGTACTATATTACGTACATGGCGTTCGATTGGGCTTAAACTTGGTATACTACGTATCTTCGGTTACATTGTAATATGATTGAACTATGATGTATATAAAGTGGTACCTTAATATAGTACCATATTACGATACCATTTCATGGCGTTCGATTGTTCTTAAATTTGGTATACTACGGATCTTCGGTGACATTGTAATATGATTGAACTATGATGTATATAAAGTGGTACCTTAATATAGTACCATATTACGATACCATTTCATGGCGTTCGATTGTTCTTAAATTTGGTATACTACGGATCTTCGGTGACATTGCAATATTATGGTACCTTAAAGTATATCGAGTGGTACCATAATATAGTACACTATTATGATATCATTTCCTGGAGTTCGATTGGGCCCAAATTTGGTATACTTGCGTTTCTTTATAAAGATTTGTTTAATTAATAATTTTAATTTATTTTATGAATTTTAATTTATTGTTCGATGTCGTGACAGCAACTTTTATGCCGAAGTAATATATTATTAATTGTACCTGTGTCACTTTTTAAAATCTACCAAGGTCTATAATATATAAATAACGTGGCAAACGGAAGAAATTTGTTATTATATATATTTTTAGTCAGTTAACATTTTTTGTACTGCATTTTAATAATATATTTCTATATTTCATTACTAACGTTCCAGCATTAATAAATATCACTATCAATCGCCCTGCATATTATTAATTTTAAAGGTAATTAAAGGTATTTTCTTAGTTAACATTATAAGGTATAGTGTATATTAAAAATGTATATGTTTTGTAATAATATACTTAAAACTATTTTAATAGCCAAAGGAATAATTAATATAAGTGTATCTGACAAGAAAAGAAGAATAGAAAGAAACACATACTGCATTATACACAATTAAAGAATAGGATGCCAATTCAAGTCTTTTTGAATCTGGCAACTGTGCATATTTAGCCGAGCTATAAGGCCGTCGACGAGCCGTCGATCCAAAACCGAAAGTTCAAAATTTCTAATTATATTCTGATTATGATATTGTCGCGCCATCTAGTATTCTATTTGTGCAATTTTAGCTCTTTCATTTCGAGTATTTTTCTGTTGCGTAGCTAGATATTCTGTGCTATAAGTAATCAAATATCAATTTGCTGTTTTCAACCATACGGGGGGCAATTTAAATTTAGTGAAATTCTATCATTTATTATGGTTAGTTAACATTAATATGATTTATTTAATTATCAGTTTCAAAACTACATACAATATTGGTATATAATACACTAAATATACGCATATTCTGACAAAAGACGCTACGGACAGATGACCTTTTCGTCGTTAAACACTTGAAATGATATTAAATAAGTATTTACAATATTTCATGTTTACTTGTACTGAATTACGCGTTTCAATTTAAATTTTTTGCAAATTTGGTTTGGTTTGAATAAAAAGAAGTTTTTAAATAAGAAACTTCTGCCTACAGATTTAATTTTCTTATTGGCATAATACCCTTTCTTCCTGTATAAATCTTGCCACTTTTTCAGTCCAATGTTCCTTGTTTTTACAGTTGTAGGAATACTAAAAATGTTGATTATAGAACTTGATACTATGTTTGAAAAAACCTTCATACCTGTAACCATAGCCTGTAACTGTGCATAAATCTAATTAACTGAATTCTCCTCCTCTTGACACTCTGAACACTGCTGCTGCTAATGTTAGAAATATTTAGCACAAAACTACAACTACCTACAACAAACTTTACAATAAAAATGTTAAATTTTCGCTGTTCGATTAAAATACCCTATCTTATGTTTTCTTTTCCTCCAAATAATCTTCTTGTCAAGTAAGGACCAATCTTATTTGACATATTTCTGGTACACTTGAACTTGTGCTTTCATGGACACTATAAGAGTGCACTGTTTTACAGAAGCACGAACATTGATTCCAAGTATCATCTTCCTCCACACGTAATAAAAACATCCTCCTTAAATGGCCACATCATACACTTATTTTGACCATTCCCAATTACAATCACGATTTTTACAAATCGCCTTTAGGAAAACTAAAAATAAACAGTTTTGGATCATCTGTAAACAGGATTATGTTGTATAAACTTACACATGAAAACTAATCATTTTTCCCGGCGTATTAGCTTTCTTAGAATGACTATGACAATATACAACAAGCCTTTTTGAATTAGTGTTTAGAATAATTGAGATAATAATAAATTTTAACTAGATAACAAATAACAACACAAACGAAAAACAAATCAAAACAAACAGATGTCAATTAAAGAGGGGAAGTGACAGCGAGACCTGGAAGATGTCTGCCATCTTGCCGTCGACAAAAATTTGGATGCGCACTCGTCGAAGCTCATTCTCCCACTTCCATATCTCTGCTTCCAACGCACTGTGCGCTTGTCCGTCAAATGCAAAAATAACTGTCACTGTCTAAAATCTTTAGCGCCAACTTCAACTCGGTCCTCAGATGACGTAAAAAAACTGACAGTGCAGGAAGATAGGAATCGAACTATCCTTCTCTCTATAGTATCCTTGGGTAATGGTGTATTTTCTTTGTGTATTTTAAGGGGCTGATCCTACATCTATTTGCTGCATATGCTCACAGATATTATATTAACCAAAAACACTAGCGTTTGCTAGCGTCTACGTCCCACTAGTCAACTCGGGCACCCAAGAACCTTGGCTTGTTGCCGTTTGTTGTCCCCTGGAACTTTAGTTGTCTCTTAATTTCATAATATGTAATAAAATCTATAATAAAGTATAGTACCGTATGATCGAATAAAAACGGCGTCCAGTTGGCTTGGAAATGACGATCGATGCCATTTCCTATATAAATTTACATATAAAATGACAGCGATCTTCATTTCATAGCCATCGCTGACGCCGTTTTTATTCGATCATACGGTAGTTTCATAATATGTAATAAAATCTAGGGTAAAGGTGTGGATCCGGTGGCTGACCTTGAAGCCCATATTTGCTGCATTTGATCATCGATACTACGCAAGCGCACATCGTCGATGTTGCCAAATTGCAGTTTATTTTCGAATTATTTGCAGTTGAA